GTCCGACCGCCCCTCCCTCATTTCAAAGGGGAAGAGGGAAGCCCCTGTTCAAGAACTTCGCCGGCGTTTTTCTTCGCTTTTTTCCTATTAGCAGTCAACTCGCCATCTACAACTTCATTATCGACCTTTTTACCCCGCGAATTCGATCTGGAATTGTTGCTTTAAATCCAAGCGGCGCTCTTGGTTTAGTCAAAGTAGCCAGTCTTGTTCGTCACCAGTCTATGATTGACAAGAACTTCAGTGCAAATGAAAAAGTAGATCCTCACCTATGATCATTCGGTTCGCCTTTTAGACTGTTGCAGTCCATATGGTACCACTAATATTGTCATAACCAACATTGCGCCAGTGCACATTCTAGCCGTCTAGACACGGGTCAGAATCGCCAACAGGTAGTCCCCCTAGTGAGAAAGGAGGAACTGTTTTTCTGCACTTGAAAGCACCAGCCTGTAAGGAGTAAGGCATTCGTCTCCTTCGGCTGCACGTTGGCAACAATTCACTGATAATCATGATGATGGTGCAAATAGTTAGGAAAGACAATGCTTGTGCTGAAAATGGAGTAGGCTCGAAAAGAATTTTTAAAATAGGCGTGATCTTTTGGGACAATCCGATACGTTATTCACGCGCCATGCAGGTCCGTATAGTTCTAGATCTTTCAATGCAAATCAAAAATAACTTTCTCAGATTTATATGCTCGACTTCGGCATGGCACGCAAATTTGTCAAGGAAGATGGCACGCTTAGAAATCCAAGGTATTTTCGTGCTGATGGTAGAGTGTACACTGGACTGGAGGCGAGCTGTCATAGGACATTCATCGGTGGAAGAGCGATAGCCACATCCTCAGTTTGCTGAGACTTCCGATGCACGTTCTCCCACAACAACACTGCCTACGACAAGCTGCCTGCAGAGCTAGCGCTCTTGAAATTTCGAAAAGAAATGAAACCATTATTAAGGGCCCGTGCTGGATTTCGTGGAACGGTGAAGTACGCACCTTTAGCATGCCATGTGCATCGTGAACAGTGCAGAAAAGATGACATCGAGAGTTGGATGTACATGCTCGTCGAGATTACCTGCGGTCGATTACCTTGGCGAAATTTGACGGTGTGTTTTATTCGCGAGGTCTGAGAAAATTTTGATATTTCTTCATAACAGGCACATACAGTCGATCTGAAGTTGGGGTGGGTGTGTCTACCGGAAGTGACGTGCACTTGATAGAAGTGCGTGGATAAGCTGTTGCCCGCATACTTTGCTGATAGCCGGCGATGTATGTTGGGAGCAGCTTATCCACACAGTTCTATCAAGTGCACGTCACTTCCGGTGACCCACCACTCGCGGATATAGCTTGTTTATAGAGCTTGCTTCTAGGGGCTATACATCTTGTGCAATAGTGGTACCAAGTTCATACCTCTCAGCAGCTGCGATGGAGCTAGGGCCTTGTCAAGACTGTCATTGGCTGCTGCAACGGTCTATGTGGACGAGTGCCTGCTCTCCTCCTCCCCTGCTATGCTCTTCTACCTCACTTCTATGTTCGCGACGTCCTATTCACACCTTTCCGCCCTCATACAGGGTGTGCTATCTTGCCATATCTGTGCCTCCATCTAAGGCCGCGTTCATAGTTCTGGAGATTAGGATAGTACGCGACAATGAAAAACATATGTATTGACGGGAGATTAGGATAGTAGTAGATTAGATAGTAGTAGAGTAGGAGATTGCGCTGACAAGATTAGATACGTATCGATTGAAATCGCCTGGAGAGTAGTAGATTGCGATATTACGATAGTAGGATAGTAGTAGAGTAGGAGATTAGGATAGTAGTAGATTAGGATAGTGCGCTGACAAGATTAGATATGTATTGATCTATTCGCTTGAAGTCGCCCAATCTACTACTCTCCAGCGATTTCAATCGATACGTATCCAATCTTGTCAGCGCAATCTCCTACTCTACTACTATCCTAATACCCCGAGTCGCGAACTATGAACGCGGCCTAAAACTCACCCTCCATTCATTACAATTCATCCCCGTTGGACCAAGTGCAGTCTGGCTCGAGGCTGCTTTGTTTATGCTTTTCCAAGCAACCTTAGCTTTCGCGCCTTCCCTATATAGGTTCATCTCAGATGCACTTGTAATCTAAGTTCGTGAATGTTAAAGGCTCTCTATGTGCTAGTTATGTATAATACACCCTAAGAAAGCTGGGACAATTTGTCTTCTCCAAATTTCACGAAACTTTGATTACTGTCGGTCAGGAATCTTAGGTAAACAAAGAAGGCCACTTTAGGAATCGAATGATGTCGGCCTTTTCAAGAAAGATTGCAAAGGTGAACGCTATCGTTGCTTGTTTGGTGGATGTCCTCGAGAATACTTGGAAGATATTCCCAATCCTTGACAAAGTTTGTCTCGTTTTTTATAGCACTGTCAGGAACTCTTCTTCTTTCGCAAATGCGTCTAACTTTCAATTCAGGGCAAATTCTTTGACGCACCAGACTATCCAGCTATCTACAAGTTACTGGAATCGGCTCTTCATAGTACTCGTGCTCAAGAGTTTCCGTATGATTGGGAAATGTAATTCCTTCAATAAACTGGTGTTATATTCGTCCATTTTTGCATAAGAATTATAAATCGTAATTTAAGTCCTTCGTGGTTGTGATCGCGAATAAGGAGCTTAGCTTT